AGATCGTCGAACAATGCTCGGATAAAACTCAAAGCTTTCGAGTGATACCTTCGTTAAGTTTTCACTTAAACAAAGCGCTATAACTGAGATCAAAGGGGCTGAAACTGAAATCCATGCATTATCTAAATATTCTTCAAATGTTGGGCGATACTCAGTGTAATACCATCTTGCCTCCAACATATAAGCTTTACATAAATCTAACCACTGATATTTTCAAGCATTTTAGGCAATATTATAATTTGAAAAGAATTTCTGCTTCATTTAAAGGTTTTAATTACATTACCGCTCTTTTAAGGTATGGAAGAACATCCAACCCCCTCTCCTCCATGATTTTGCATGCCACACTATTTACCATGTTGAATAGTTCTGAAAAACATATCTTTATATATTCAGGAAGTGCTCTAACAGCAGCAAATTCCCACCTGTGGAATCAATGGTGTATAAAATCAATTGTATATTATTTAATTAATGCAAATATACAAATTAGTTGCAATTCAGAAAATTTTCTTTGTTATGTACCTTTCAACGGCATCAGTGAAGAGCTGAAGCTCATCCAACGAACCATAAATGTCATAGATATCATCTATAACATTTATAAAGCATATTGCTTTAGCAACTTCTATTCTGAGTGTTGAGAACTGTGGTTCCATGGCCAAACCCACTGCCAAGAAGTAGCTCTCCACAGGCCATTCTCTTGCAAAAGTTACTTTACCACCAGTTGCACTACTTATTTTTGTCCACCAACTAAGACATCATAACAATATATTATTTAATCGTCCTTGCATATATATATTCCAAAAGGAATGTCCGGATGCTATTATACGAGCCTCGGTCATCCCTCATGCGTCTAAGAATTCGAGTACCACACTCTACACTCGGGAGGAATCGAACCCCAGACCAGAGAGACTTACAACTGACAAGCAGATGCACGACCAACTGATCTAAGTACGTGACACATTCTTGCATATATACATATATAAGGAAATTAACAAGCTATACATACGATGTAATCTCCTTGAGCTCTCTGATGTAGATGCTTTGAGTCATGTTGAAGTCGAGTTGAGCGAATTCTATTACAATTGGGTCCGGATTAACTTCTTCTATGTCGCGAGCTAGCCGGATGAAAATTGGAGCTTGAAGCTTTGGAATTCTATGGTGGAGAGGAAGCTCCAAGGCTTTGGCTATGTACTCTGAAAGCTTTGGATTTGTTGAAGAATTTGATGTCTTTAGATATCTTAGTTGTTTCAGAGTAAACTCCTTTAGTTCATCTAGCTCATCTTCCCCATCCATAGCAAGAAATGAAGCCTCATAGAGGCTTAATATTCCTTTGGTATCATGGAGTACAGAAGGCTTGTAGGACCCATTCTTATCTTTGTAGCATTGAACCAACAAATCTGTTCCGGAATAACAATTTTAGCAGTAATAAATTAATTTGCTATTACAAGGCAAAGGTTTTTTAAGATAATTAAACCATTTATAGTTTGCAAATTTATCAAGCATGTATCCATGTCTGTATGTAAGTTTGCTTAATTGATTTGTGTGGTTAAAGCCCTTCCCTCATTGCGCCTTTGTTAGGTAGGGGTTTTTACATTTTCATGAGATTCAATTTTATGCGTTGAAATTTTCTCTTTGTCGCATATTATAGGCTCCATAAATAGATACAAATAATGTTCAAAAAAATATCTTCGGACGACCGCGTGGATCGCACTACACCGAATGCACGATAGCATAAGTGCGATTCACGCTGGCATCCGAACAACCAGAGTTTGTACATTATTCATTGATAAAAACACTTAGTGAAGAAGATCACACACACATCACGCGCACTAAACAAATTAATTAAGTAGAAGATCACACTTAATAAATTAATTAGAAAATTTCCATAACCTTTGGAGGCCACAAGGCCATGCTCCCTTGAAAGCCTAAAATACAGAGCCATGACATAAGCATCCATGGTCATTCTTAACTCTTCTTCCAAGGTTCTCATCAAATGTAACGAATCTTTGATCTCCTCTTCAAAATGATAGGCCACTCCAAGCTTTTGCAGTAAATCAAAAAGCTCCAGCTGATCAGCAAATCCCTTCTCCTTAATAAGCCACTTCACTTCCTCCTTCAGCTCCTCTCTTCTCTTTACATGCACATCTCCCTGTACATAAACATATATACATATATGATCCAAAAAATGTATAGATATAGATTAGATAAGAGAAACAATGCAAATATATATGTATGTTACAGTGAAAGAAGTAATGTTCAGAGACTGTATTTGGCTGTCATCCCATGGGCTCGGCTGATAGTTTGTTGTTCTTCGGATGGGAGTGGATGAGATCGAAGCAACAGAATAACACTTGTTGTAAAGACGGGGGAATGGAGATGATGAGAAATATTGAGCATTATGATGTTTTCTAAACGGGAGAAAGTAACGGCTATTTACAGAATAAGCAGAGATCTGCAGATTTGTAAGTGAATGGGGACAACTCATTCTTCTCATTGAAGAAAATTTGGAGGGGAAATGTAAGAAGGAAATGTAGGAGGGGGAATGTGGAAGTGGGTTTTATTGAATGGCTTAGGCTCTGTTTTGAAAAATAGTAGTTGTTTGGAGAAGGGGTTGTGAAGTTTCAAAAAAATGTGGTGGGTATAACAAATTATTTATTAAAATTATTTTTTGAAAATGTCGTTGCACAGCTGGCGGCAAAACACAACTTTCAGCTATAACTTTTTGAAAAAGCAATTAAATGCAATTTTGATAAATAGAAAAGATTGCGATGCTACACCGTAAGTAATTTGTTTCAATCCTAATTTATAGCCTGTATACATGCCAAATATTGTAGTTATTTTTTATGAGTGTCACAATTAAATCATTCAGAATTTAATTAAAAATATAAAATATTAGTAGAAATTTTAGCATGAGTTTTAATATTTAACTGTGTTGAAGAATTTAGGGCAAAGAAACACAAATTCAGAAGAAGAACACAAAGATTTAACGAGGTTCGGCAAAGATGCATATGTCCTCGGGAGCAGAGCGGCGACTTTATTTCAATTCCAATTTCAATTTCAGAAAAAGATTACAAAATTATTCCTAAGATTACAAACATGACACAATATATATATATATATATAATCTTAGAGGACAATGTGTAATTACAAAATTACCCATGTACCGTACTGCGGGGGCAATTCCCCCGCACCCTCAACACACATAACCAAACTCCACCGATTGGATAGATTCTTCCGCTCCGCTCGCTTTGTTCTGCTCTAGCATCTGTCCTTCATGTAGTATATGAGCCATACCTAACAAAATGAAAGAAGAGTTTGATTTGTAAACATCAATATTTGGAGTCCTGTATACCTAATTGGTCCATATTTTTTTCTGAAATCTTCAGAATAAGACGACTCTCACCAACTCATGGGCAATAATTAATTTATTATCTCCAAAACGTGAAAAGCATTTTTCAGCCATTTATTGAGGCTGGCCCACTATATTTTGATTAATTTAAGAAAACATGATTAAAGACATTATTTGGACATTTATCAGTTTCTAATACTATAATTAGTTTGTATTAGTTTGGTGTGCAATAAAATATTGATGCCAAGAGTGAGATAGATGGGGGTCTTAATCTTGTTCGAAAATTCATCATATGAATTCATTTATGTCATCAAATAGATAATAATTATTTTGCCACCATCTACAATCTCACTTCTAAGATTTTGAATCTGATAAAGCCGAGCTACTCTAAGAAAGCCCCGATCGCATTTGACCAGGTACAGATTGTTTTTACAACGACTGTAAGGTAAAGCTTATTATTCCTTACTTAGGTAACGATCTTCAAATTGAGAATTATATCTCCTTATGTTAAGAATTATAATAAGAAATAATTTATTCTTATAAGAAGTTACGAAGAATAAATTATTTTCTTAATATAAGGAGATATTTCCTTGCCTATTTTGTTGAATTAGGAATTATTTGTTTTCCTATTTTATGTTATTTCCTATATTAATTATCTAATAATTAATATGAATTAATTATTGGAGATATCAGGTGATATATCTTTCCTTTCATATCATTTTTTTTTCTATTATAAGATTCTTATAAGGGTTATTTATTCTCTCGTTTATATCAATGAAACAATATGAAGTATTCCACTTTATTTCGCATTATTTTGAATTTCAACATGGTATTAGAGCGAGGTTTCGTACCCTATTCACCGGTCCTCCTTTGAGATGTGTCGGACTCCCTTCCTGCCATCATCTGTGCAGGAAGGGAGGGACACTCATCTTGATATTTGAAACGACGACTTTTTCTTGTTCTTCAAATCCCTAATTCCCCGCCACCTCGTTAGTTTACAAAAGCCATGGAAAGTATCACAAAGATGCGCTCCCATAGGTCGATCTCGATGCTGCCTCGGAGTCTGAACCAGAGAACAAGAGGCGTATCCCCTATCGCCGTCTCTGGGTCTGCACATCGGCATCATCCTCAGCAGCATAGTCGTCAAGCCTCCGCCTACCAATACAGCTAATGCCTTGCAAGCTAGATTGCGATCAGAGACTCCTTCAGTCAGCATACCGCAACCGATGATGGGGAGGAACCATCTGCATCACACTCCTAACTTTTTCAGATCCGACTAGAAGCTTGTTGCCACTGTCATCGCCTAGAAATGCACGGGCTGGTGTTTTGGAGGATTCTCCTTCTCCGAGGTCTTTCAGAAAGTTGGGGGATCATACTTCACTTCTATACACGACTCCTATTTTTTTTTGGGGTGTAAATTGTGGTTTTTTAACATCACCACAAACCATTAAAAAAAAAAAAAAACCAACATAACATTGCTTAATCTAACAAATGCCTGCACCAGCGGTGGGGCTCCAGCCAGGGCGACACCAGTGATGCCGCCACCCGCCTCATCATCATCCCGCCGAAAATATCGCTGTCGTGGATCGAACAATGCTGGAAAAATCCATCATCGGCCCTTCCTCCTGCAGTATTCTTTTCTTCCCTGTCAAAGCATCAGGGCTCCTGCAATATCTTTCTTCCCTGCCAAAGCGTCAGGGGAAGCTGCATTTCCGGCCGGTCATTTCTCCTGCAGCATTTTTTTCTTCCTTGCCCAAGCTTCAAGGGAGTTGCATTTCCAGCTGGTCATTTCTCTTGCAGTATTTTTTTCTTCCCTGTCAAAGTGTCAGGGGGAGCTGCGTTTTCAGCCGGTCATTTCTCATGCAATATTTTTTTTCTTCCCTACTAAAGCATCAAGGGGAGCTTTGTTTCCAGCTGCCCTTTCTTCTGCTGCTTTCTCTGTCAGCAGAATTTACTAGGTGTGAATTACATGTTTTCTCTGCAGCCAACGACAACCGTTGTCAACTAAAAATCAGTTTTTTTGTAGGTTGTCTTGCAAAACTCAAAATTCAGTCAAGCCTGAATCAAGCAAATTCATCGAAGCCTGAAAATGTCGAAGCCTGAGAGTGCCGAAGTCTGAGAGTGCCCAAGCCTTAGTGTCGAACCCTGAAAATGTCGAACCCTGAAAATGTCGAACCTCTAGAATGTCGAAGCCTAAGAGTGCCGAAACCTGAGAGTGTCGATGCCTCAGAGTGCCGAAGCCAGAAAAAATCGAAGCCCTATGGTGTTGAAGCCCGATAGGCCGAAACATATGGGAGACAAAACTCAAAATTCAGCCTAGCCTGATTCTAGCAAATTCGATAATCCAAACGATCAATTTTTCTAACTACTCAACAAGTTAGGAATTATTAACATACATTCCAAATTTGAGGGGGAGTGTTAAGAATTATAATAAGAAATAATTTATTCTTATAAGAAGTTACAAAGAATAAATTATTTTCTTAATATAAGGAGATATTTCCTTGCCTATTTTATTGAACTATGAATTATTTGTTTTCCTATTTTATGTTATTTCTTATATCTCCTAATAATTAATATGAATTAATTATTGGAGATATCATGTGATATATTTTTCCTTTCATATTATTTTTATTTTTTTATTTTTTTTATTATAAGATTTTTGTAAGGGTTATTTATACCCCCATTCATATCAAACAAAGTATTTCACTTTATTACGTATTATTCTGAATTTCAACAAAATTGAACATTATTTATTGGATTGGAAGCCGACCGTGGTGGCCTTCTTTGAATATATGGATGTTGATATAGAAAAACAAGTGTGTTGTTACGTCGCATGTTAGATTGAAAGGTTTAGCGAGGGCATTGTGGCAGCAATTGATTCATTCTCGTGGGAGAGGGAAGAAAACCCTTCAAAAGTTGGGTTCAGATGAAGTAACATCTATGTAATCATTTATTGACTTCCGGTTATGAAGAAATATTGCATGTGCAAGCTTAGAGAAGCGCTCAAGAATATCGCTCTGTTAGTGCTTACGCTGAGGAATTTTATTTTTTAATGCTTACCACCAAAATATATTATTTTACATGATATAGTTATTTGTTCTTGGTTTTGCTTTTGATCTATCAGGCTCTATACCAATTTGATATCAGAGACAACTATGGCCGCCGACAGCAGCATGTTGAGAAAAATAGGACGAAGAAAACAGCAATCGACACAAATCCAGAAGAACACAGAGATTTAACGAGGTTCGACAAAGATGCTTACGTCATCGGGAGCAGTCGGGAGCATCGGGAGCAGAGCGGCGAGTTCCTTTCAATGATCAGAAAAGGGTTAACAGAATTCAGGGATACCTCCTGGGGTTACTAACATGCCTATTTATAACCCCAGGAGTAAACCTAGGCACAACATGTAATTACAACATTACCCCTGTACCATACCGCGGGGTTTTGCCCTCGCACCCCAACCCACGTAACTTCCCAATTTGGACAGATTCTTCCACTCCGCTCTGCTCCAGCGTCTGTCCCGATATGGTATATGAGCCATACCATAACAAATGGCATTACAAGCTTGACTGAGGATTTTGCTCCAATGTGTCGAATGGTCTCCTATCGGGCTTTTTAACATATTAGCAGTACGATTGACCACTTCAATTTGTCCGTCTATCTTCGATGATATACATAGCTGTGATGGAGATTTATATATGATCTTTTCCATACTTCTCTCTAAAAGAAACTAATGAATTTAATGGAGGATGCCATGTAAGCATACTATTTCACAGAAAAATGGCGTGGAATATTGACGGCATGGAAATATTTCTATCTTGAAAAAATGGCAAACTACTACCATGATACAATAAACATCTCATTTGGTCCTTGAGAGGTTTGGAATGAAGGCCAAACTGATGTACTCCCAAATTGAATTGGGCACTGGAAGTAAATTTTACACCAACATTTCAAGTAGTGCCTTCGCTAACCTGACAAATTGGACAACATACTACAAATTGAACAATATCCTTTTTAAGCTACCAAGTACAAAAGAAGATTACAGCTGAGCTAAGGATTTGTCACTGCAAGAATGTGCAACAATCTATCCAAATGCAATTTTTTGATTAGGGATGCTAAACTTTTCAATGAAGTAACTCAACTAGCCTGTTGTCTTGGGAGAATTCAACGTCAATTTCGGTAGTGGAGGTATTCGTTTCAACCAAAAATAGTTTAT